AGGGGTCTTTTTTTGTCCAAAACCGAAACTTTTTTGCTTTTCCCCCCCCCCCCCCCCCCCCAATACTGACCAGATACATGGGTCTGAATACACCTCTCTTCCAAGAAGACTCCCACATACTTAACACACCTGCATGATTACCTGGTATACTTTTTACCTTTCTATTACCTGCCTTGCCTTGTGCACACTCCAAGTTGTTCTTGAACACATTTTGGGGTCCTAAACACTCTTAAATAACTTAACCCCATCTTTTACTGTAACTTATAATTGCAGATATGATCCAAACTTTGTCAATTGGGGACCAAATACCCCCAATCTTCCACAAATAAAATCTAGATAAAATACTGCACCAATACTAGGTAACCCAGCACACTTGCCCTATAGTTATAGGTACAGGTAGGGCTGCTACTAGGACCAATACATATAGCCAACCAATACCCGTTTTCACCTTTTCACTTCTTAGATGTCTAAGCCAGGTCTGTAGATATGATTTTGGGTTGTATGTATTGAAAGAAGGCTGGAATGGCTCAGAAACAGGTGGAAAGTTGCCATGAAAAAAATCAGACTTCTGATATTAAATCAGGAAAAAAAAATTGTCTTGCCTGTACGTTCAGCTAAGTCTATTATTCATCAGCTACAAGCACCAATGATGTTTATTATGTCTTTGAAAAGAAAACTAGAATCTGACAGTGTACTTTGCGACCCTGGTGTCACCATTTCACTATCTGCTTGAACTCGTCAGACCTACCGCGGGAGTCTAACACACTTTTACGAAAACAATGAACATTTTTTAAAAGTTGCTTTCACAAAGTGTCAAATACACGACAAGTTTGGTCAAATCCATTCTTTATATTATTTAGTTCAACATTTTGGTTTGACTAACATTGCATGTATCTGGCTAAATGTAATTTTATCCCAGAGTGGTCCAGGTGAATAAGAACAGGTTTTCTACACAGAATCACTATAATGCCACTTACGTAAAGAGACTTAAAACCCTAGATTTGTCCTGAACTTTAAGGCCAAAATTCTAATCCTTAGCAGTCTATCATCATCAAGTTAAGATTAGAGTAGAACAATTGCAATGCTTTTTTGTTATGCAGTAAGAATGGCAAATCATTTGATTGGACTACAGTGGCTTTATCTGAGGGCAAAGTCGACTAAAAAGTTAGGAATTCAAGTTTTGACCAATTTTCGATCTGAAGTTCCATTTCTTGGAAAATGTCTCCTTGTTTGGTAATACATTACTGCACAAAAGATGGTTGCTAAATATCTATGCCACTGAGTGATAACATTGTGAAAGCTTCATTCTGACACACCCGTGGCACCTATATCATAATAAATAAATAAATTATAAATAAATAAATAAATAAATAAATAAATAAATAAATAAATAAATAAATTGCAACTAAACATTAACCCTTTAACAGGAAATCAAGAACATCTCTAGTACGGTACATATCAAAAATCATCAAGAAGACATAGATGTTATTTATGTTCATATATACCTAGTACATGGATATTTCTACACCTTCTGACTTCACCCTTAGATATATGTGTGTCAACTTCAACATCAAGACTTTGATTTAGGTCAAAGATACATTAACTGAAGATAAAGCGGAACAACAATTTTGGACCTCAATCTAGCTAACATGAACAAATTAAAATCAAGTCTTTAATGACACAAATATTTTTGCCACAAGTCGAAGACAACATTATTTCCCATTGTGACATTATTTTTTCATATATATCTATTGATCTGGACTAACAACATGGTGATTCCCCAGAGAGCAGTCATTTAGACAGCTACTAGCCTCAAAAGTTGGCCTATATTTCCTAAGACAAACAGCTTATAAAAATTTTGGGTTGGTTGGGCTTGCTTGGGTTGGATTCCCTGTACCCCAAATCCTGGGGAAACTCCTGGTAACAATGATATGAACACATATATTTCTTACTGTAACACTATGCCCAAACCGTTATGTTACAAGAAGGTTATTACTGACACAGTAACATTTGGCTGACTACAGACTTGATAGTAACAAAGTTCATGCATATATTTAAGAATAACATTTTCAAGGTTATCAAAAATGTAAGCTAAAAGCAAGCCCCAAACATTTACAGTCATAATCATCAATAATACTATTAAAGAGTTCTTTTAAAAAAATATCTGAAACATTATTTTAGCTCAAAAAACATAACAAGGGTATGTTTTGCCTAGCTGGGTTGGGGGAACATTAACAATTTGGGCAACAGCAATTAACCAGCAATTCTTTCACTTGAAAGTGACTTCTGTGCAATACTGAGAGATAAGCAATAAGTATTTCACTATTAAGCAATTAGCTTCAATGTCTCCAACTATAATTAAATGATTAACACCAGGCAATCCACAACACCATAAATATACCAATTAAGGAATAGAAAGCTGAAGGGCACAGATGTCATGACTTGAACCCTCTACTGAAGACTGTGGCTATATACTGTGCAGTGACAGTAAGACCCCATTCCCAGAGATTAGATCGATCCAACTAGATCGACCAAACTCCTTGGGGGTTCACGCTAAATAGCTGTCAGCTGAGCGGGCACGAAAGTTAATTATCCCCTTACAGCTTGTAGTAGGCGGGACGGACATTTAAGCCGGATTATCTGACAGTAATCTAGTGAGACTCCCCACGAGGATAGATCGATCTAAATGTCTGGGAATACGCCCTTATATAGTGACTTCAAAGTGGAATGGGGGTATCACAGGGGATTAGACCTAAGTTACTTCTCCAGCAGTTAGTGCAACGTCAATGGTTACTGAAGTCATGGTACTTGTATACAAATTCAGTTCACCTTTAAATATTCCAAATTTAGGCTAATACCTCATATAAAATAATGCTCTTCACTTGATGAGTATATTTGCTGATAAATGAATGAAGTGCCAAGTGGTACCCCTCCCCTCCCCCCCCCC